AGCTACTCTTTTGTCCTCTCTTTTCATCTATTGACAGGGCTGGAGTAATCATTGCAATGGAAACACAATTTTGAAGTGCTTTGTAAATCAAAAATGATAAATAAAAGAAAGATCGATAGATAATAAAAGGCAAATGCCAGGTGAATTCTGTGTAAAAATTATTTTTTGATATTTTCAAAATATATTACTGAATATGTGGAATTTATACCTTAATCCTCACTATGAAAATTGATGGTAATGTTTTTTCTTAAAAAGAGATCATATTACTAAAGCAGTAATTTACTTAAGCAGTAAATTACTGTCACTTGTTCTTAAGGTTTGATTAATGAATTTTTGCTGTGACCTGGGGAAGTTTTCAGTCTCATAATCTTTTCAGCATACCCTCCTCTCCGTCCACCCTTTGTGGAATTTGCTATTGTTTAATGCTGAGGTAATGGTGGCAGCCTCTACAGAGTAGTCACTGACAGTCAAACTAGGCCTCTGGTGAAGAAGAGCTTATTTGAAAATCCCCGGGGTAGGAAAACTGGCTGAACCATGGTGATTAAAAAGAGATTGTGGGGGGGAGGAGGGGTTTCCAATGAAAATTACTGTTATTTTAAAATATTAATGAAAACTAGTATTCTGAAATAATAAATTATAGTTGTTATTGAATGTTGATGTGTTACTAAAAAAAATTTTGTATTACCAGAATTTCCTGTATTTAGATTAAATTATAATTTTTTATTATTTTCACTATATTTTGGCTTTGGATAACATTTGATTTAATTTTGTTATTGCTTCAAAGCATCTCAACTGAAAAATTAAGAACTTTGGGAGAGAGATATATAGATAAAAGGTGTTTTTAAATTTTTGCTGATGAATTAAAGGTCAAGTAAGTTAACAAAGTCTTAAAGTTACTTGTGATTCAAGTCAAACCCAACCCTCTGCCTGGTATTCTTTACACTGGACTAGACTATGTGCTAAGCAAACTTTAACTATATAAACACATTGCTGAATTTAAAGTGAATGGGTCAGGTTTGGGAACCAATGCATAACTGATTCTACAGACTCTGCCTATCCAAATTATACTTTTATTTTAAGAACTGAATCACATTCTCTTCTCTTTGAAGCATACCTTGATAACTGCCTCCCCACCCCCACAAAACAAGTTTACACAAACTTGAACCAAACCCATTGCCATCAAGTTGATTCCGACTCGTAGCAACCCTACAGGACAGAGTAGAACTGCCCCACATGGTTTCCAAGGCCATAAATCTTTACAGAAGCAGACTGCCACATCTTTCTACCACAGAGCAGCAGGTGGTGGGTTCACCAGCCAACCGCTGACCTTTTGGTTAGCAGCTGAGCGCTTTAACCTCCGTGCCACCAGAGCTCCGTAAGACGTTCTTAGTAGAAGTTCTATATAAATAATACTTAAGCAGTGCTTTGTTCTGCTAACTTGTTTTTTCTTAATCATCTTATCTAATTAATTGATGGGTGTTCACCAGAGTATGTTAGGAAATAACACATTCACACATACACAAATCATTTACAGCTGTGAGTCCAAGGAGTTCATTGCAGGTGGCAGTAGCCAGAGAAGGCTTCACAGTGGGTTGAGACTCAATGTAGATCTTAAAGAACAGATAGTATGCGTAAAGACGGAGAGGATGGAGAGGACATTCTAGATGGAGATCAGTGACAGCAACACAGGGAGATGGGATGGTGCCTGACATGGTCAAAGTGGATGATGGAAAGATCACTTGGCTAGCAGGTGGTGGCTATTATACCTTCCTTCACAACTACTCTTCTTGAAAGCCAAGTCCACAGTGTATAAAATTGTTTCTACTGCTTTGCCTTCCTGCCTGTAGCAGTTTGGCTTCTCTTCTTGCCTCTCCAATGCAATGCTTGTTAAGCCCTCAGTGACCTCTTACTAATAAATATAGTGTGTATTTTCAATACTGATCTTTTTGAAAATAAAATATAGTCAATTAAAGAAATCAATATAAGTAATTCTGATAAAAAAAGTATTTTCTTCTTTGGTGGTAAGAATTTTTTTCTTCATAATTATATAATTAGATGTCTCATCTCTGTGGTAAATATTCATTGAATTCATTCATTCAGTAAATATGAGTGCCTGCTATGGAGCAGGCAATGTTTCAGAGATTCCATGAATTTATAATGAGTGTGAACCTGGAAGTGAAGACAGGTTCCGATTCTCATGGAATTACATAATCATCTGTTAACGGAAGTAGACATGACAAACAATATGTTAAGTTGCTGGTAAGCCCTAAGGAGAAAACTAAATCAAGAAAAGAAGAGGTGCAATTTTAGGGTTAGGAGCAGACCCCGTAGAGGGCCCTGAGTCAGGATTGTTCTAGGTGTATTCAAGGAAAAGTCAAGTGTCATGGGACTAGAGTGCAGTAAGCTTAGGAAGAAAGTGGTAGAGAGGAGATCAGAGAGGTTGGAGGTAAGGGAGAACAGATTATAGGACTCTGGATCTTATGCATGAGATGGGAAGCCATTGGAGGGAGTGAGAAGTGTGATGATCTGACTTTATTTTTGAAGGATTGCTTACTGCTGCCTTTAGGATAGATTGTAAAGTGACAAAGGTGGGAGCAGGGAGACTGGTTAGTATCTTGAACAGAGGTGTTTGGTGATCAGAATTGTTGGATTCTGAACCTATTTATAATATGGAGCTGGCAGAATTTGATTTACTGAGATGGGGATAACTTGGAGAGGAAAAGATTTGGTTTGGAGGAGCTGGGGAGAGGAACCAGGAGTTAAATTAGGTTTGAGATTCCAATTAGTCATCTGAGTGAAGATGTCACGTAGATGTTGACTTAACAAACCTGGAGTTAAAGGAAGCCATCCAAGTTGAATATTTAGCGCTTTAGATTTTTCTTTATATGGATTTTGCAAATTGTGATATTTATTGTAACAGTTTTTAAAGTTCATTTTGTTGCTATTATAATAGGAGACTTTTATTATATTTTCTGTCTAGTTTTTTGTTTATGTAGGCTACTGACTTTAGCATATTAACTTTGTACCAAGCCACTTTACTGAATTATTTTATTTATAAAAGTTTTTCAAATGATTCACTGATTTCTCATCTCCTTTGACTTCTTTTGAAATTTTATCAAACTGTTCAATTCTAAAAAGTACTATTTTCTTCCATGCCTCTGTTTGCTTTCTTTTGCCTGAAATATCAATTTTTTCTTGTCTATTCCTGTAAATTTTTATTCATTCCCCAAAACTCAGCTTATATTTCCCATCTGTGAAATATTTCTGGATTCCTAAAAAGTTAATTTCTCTTTTATGAGTTTCAGCTGTACCATCTGCATACCAGTGTTAGAGCAATCATCAAACTTTATTGTAATTTTGTATGTCTGCTCTTCCTTCTGGGCTATGAAACCTATAGGGGTAGGAACTGGGTCTTTTCATCTTTACAACTCCACTACTTAGTTGAATTTGCTACATAATTGTCTGTTATAAGATAAATGTTGAATAAGAGTGGTCAATTTGAACACATAAATTTTATCCAATTTCAAGTTTTAGTTTTTTTTCTTCATAGTAGATTTTACAAAATATTTAAAATTTTTATTTTTGTTGCTTTTATAAATGAGGTCTTTTCTAAAGTACAATGTATTTCTTTAATCAAGAGCTTGTTATTTTATTAAATTAGCATACAATGTTAAAAACCTTCTGTTTTTTCACAATACTGAGTAAACAAAGGTGCTTGGATTTGTGGGACCTTAAATTTTGAAAACACTGAATAGGTGAATGTTACATATTTACTTACAAATAAATTCTTTATTTTGTTTGGTTTTTATTTTTGCCTAGCAAATGAGGAAGAGAAGTTAAAATTTATAGATTTTTTAATGAAAAGCAGTAGTATTTGTTCTTCCAAAAGCAATTAGCCTTCCTTAAAGGCAAAATTTTCCAAAGTTCTAATTTGCAGTGCTTTGAGGGAAACAAACAAACAAAAAATAAAACCATAAATATATAAATTACTTGTAGTTATTTTGTATTTGTTTTTACTTTTCATTTTTCCAACCCATCAAATCATTGAATTGGCTCATGTGCATTTTCTCAAGGTGTCTACTTATTATAAATCATCAGTTAAGGGGCTCATAAGTGACATTGAAAAATATTAGGATAATTCTTTGTAACAGTTTTCATTGAAGCAGAAATGTTATAACTTGTGAATATTCCCAACTCACTGTTATGTGGAATGGGAAATATAGTCGTCTTCCATGCTATTTTCCTGCAGGGAGTTATAAATGTAGATAGAGAAAACTGGTACCCAGGGAAAAACTAGAAAAAAAAGTTAACTATATAGGATTATTTGTATATGTTATATTAATTCAAACGAAAGACTGTGTTGGGGCATGGGTGAGGGGAAGGTGGATTTATGGAGACTTTGAAGGATGGGTAGGGTTTATCTGGATGGAGAGATAACATAATAGATTGGAAACAAATAGAATGAAAGGTACAAAGGTAGGGGCTATTATGAGGTATGGGAGGGAGATGTTCATCTCCATCCTGAGACATTATGGATTTTTATAATTTATCTAATCAAAGAAAATAAATCATTCTTTGCTTTGCTGAAGATCTCTGGTTGCACAGTGGTTAAGCCCACGACTGCTAACCAGAATGTCAGCTCTTCAAACCCACCAGCCGCTCCATGAGAGATAGATGTGGCAATCTGCTTCCATAAAGTTTTACAGCCTTGAAAACCCTATGGGGGCAGTTCTTCTCTGTCCTGCAGGGTTGATACAAGTAGGAATCGACTTGATGAACAGGTTGAGTTTTTGGTTTTGTTTTGTTTTGCTGTACTGAACACACACTATTGAACTGAATGGAGGCAAATATCAAATCTCATTATGTTAGAATGTTTCTTTCTACTTCCAATTAATTTAAGGCATATTCTTGAAAAAGAAAATGGCTGTTTGGAAAAAGGGGGAAAAATTCCTTTAATTCCACTATCCCTAGTAAACTAACAGTTAACATTTTGGTGCATTCTTTTCAAGATGGTGAAAAACATATACCTATTACATTTTTTGTTTTACAGTATTAGATAATATTATAAGGTTACTTTAGAAAAAATATATTTGATTTTTCTGTTTTGTGTTTATTTTAGGAGAAAACCAAAAGCCAAGGCACCGCCTCCTCCAGCTGAGACCAGATCCGTTGATGTCTCTTCAGTTGATGACTCTGTAGAATCCTCGGCTTTCATCATGGAACAGAAAGAAAACATGATAGATAAAGACATTGAACTCTCGGTGGTTCTACCTGGGGATGTTATCAAATCTACTACTGTTCATGGCAGGTACGCTAGAGCGAGTGAAATACCCTTTCTTTTCTGCCATTAAAACCCAACACGCTACACCTTTTTTTCCTCTACCAAAATAGTTCATTCATCACTCAGTTGTCTATTTTTTTAAATGCTACAAATTTTTTCCTACCAATGTTTTAATATCTATCCTATGAATTTCACAATCCCACTTAAGTGACGTTAGAAATTTAGAACAATTTCATATTTTTTAACAAGTTTTTTACAAGAGCCTTTCCCAGAGAAAAGATCATCAGTCATATTGATTTTGTAAATCAAAGCAAGCCAGTGACTGGCAAGAAAACCCTTTCCATTCCTACCCAAAATACTCTTTTCGTTTCAAGCTGCTTCTTTCAATTTGATTTTTGCAGAAATTACTATCTGCTTTTAAAATGTAATACTCTTTTGTTCATCAAAGAAGCTAAATCTGTCTGTAAAGGAATTTTTTTTTTTTTTACATCATTGAATGATTTAATTAATTTAATAAAGATGTAGCTGAGTTAAATAGAAATGTAATATCAAACTTTAACCCAACAAGAAGTGCAGATGTGATTTAGGACACTGATATTTTTAATACCTACATAAAAATTGGAAAAATGGGATAAAGCCAAGTGTAATTTTCCATTTCATGCTGAAGTGGAAAGTTATATGAATTGTATACTTGGTTTTGTTCTACATTTCACCTCCATTTGACTGTTTCTAATCAGAAGTCCTGTCTTTAGAAAGTTAAGCTGTTTTGACCTAACTATACTGTATGTGTGTGTGCGCGCGCATGTGTGTGTTTACATATATAATAAAACAAGTAAAGTATTTTAAAAGTGTTATCTGGTTTTATCTAGAAGAAATTCATTTGAGATAACCTTAATTTTAAGATTTATAATCAAAATTATATGTAACTACAAATTATTGAAAGTAGATGAAAATAGAAAAGTTTAGCTTTAACAAATAATACATAGCATTATATATTAAATTCTTATCAAATTTAAGTAAGATGCATTTTGTCATTCATTTTATATTGAAAGTAATTTTAGAGATCACACACTGAGCCCTATTTATGAGGTTGAGAGACCTGTGACTATCCTTGGTGGGCTTCTTAACTAATACGTAGGCAATCACGTGGGGTGTGGCTTTTATGGGTGAGAGAACATCATCATCAATTCTTTTTTTTTTAAAATTTTTTTTTTATTGTACTTTAGATGAAGGTTTACAGAACAAATAGTTTCTCATTAAACAGTGAGTACACATATTGTTTTATGACGATGGTTAACAACCCCACGACATATCCACACTCTACCTTTTCAACCTTGGGTTCCCTATTACCAGCTTTCCTGTCCCCTCCTACCTTCTAGTTCTTGTCCCTGGACTGTTGTGTCCCATTAGTCTCGTTTTGTTTTATGGGGCTGTCTAATCTTTGGCTGAAGGGTGAACCTCAGGAGTGACTTCATTACTGAGCTAAAAGGGTGTCCAGGGGCCATGCTCTCGAGGTTTCTTCAGTCTTTGTCAGGCCAATAAGTCTGCTCTTTTTTTGTGAGTTAGAACTGTGTTCTATATTTTTCTCCAGCTCCGTCCGGGACCCTCTGTTGTGATCCCTGT